CCAGGCTGGTATCCACTCCTGGCCTCAAGTAATCCACCCACCTCAGCCTCCAAAAGTGCTGGGGTTACAGGCATAAGCCACCATGCCTGGCCCAGAACTTCCTAAGAAACACTTACACGTCACTGCTAGCTATCTCACTCTTCCTTGGGTGAGTTCCCCGGAGAGTGAAATGATTCAAACAGACACAAAATGGCAACATGTGCTCTGTCCGCTTCACAGCAGTTTACCTGAAGAGTTTCGACACAGATTTTATCATAAATAAGAATTTCTGGTTTTGTTTTTGATTTTTTGGTGTTTTTTGTTTTGTTTTGTTTTTGGGTTTTGGTGTTTTTTTGAGATGGAGTCTTGCTCTGTCACCCAGGCTGAAGTGCAGTGGCCTGATTTCGGCTCGCTGCAAGCTCCGCCACCCGGGTTCATGCCATTCTCCTGCGTTCAGCCTCCTGAGTAGCTGGGATTACAGGCATATGCACACCACTGGCCTAATGGCCAGCCTATACTTGGCAAGACCCTGTCTCAAAAAAACATAAAGAATTTATTTATTTATTTATTTATTTATTTATTTATTTATTGAGATGGAGTTTTGCTCTTGTTGTCCAGGCTAGAGTGCAATGGCACAATCTCGGCTCATTGCAACTCTGCCTCCCAGATTCAAGCAATTCTCCTGCCTCAGCCTCCTGAGTAGCTGGGATTACAGGCGTGCGCCACCACGCCCAGCTAATTTTGTATTTTTAGTAGGGAAGGGGTTTCTCCATGTTTGTAAGGCTGGTCTCAAACTCCCGGCCTTAGGTGATCCGCCCACCTCAGCCTCCCAAAGTGCTGGGATTACAGGTGTGTGCCACCATGCCCGGCCAAAGAAAAAATTTAAACAACTAACAAAAATATGGTCATAGAAATATTTTGAAAGATAAGAAAATGTTCTTCAGGCCGGGCGTGGTGGCTCATGCCTGTAATCCCAGCACTCTGGGAGACTGAGGCAGGCAGATCACGAGGTCAGGAGGTTGAGACCATTCTGGCTAACACAGTGAAACCCCATACAAAAAATTAGCCAGGCATGGTGGCGGGCGCCTGCAGTCCCAGCTACTGGGGAGGCTGAGGCAGGAGAATGGCATGAACCCGGGAGGCGGAGCTTGCAGTGAGCTGAGATCACACCACTGCAGTCCAGCCTGAGCGACAGAAAATGTTCTTCAAATACCAAGTAAAGATTTTTAAAAAGAGTACGTGCCACAGTGACCAACCCATCCTGGTTAATCTAGAACTATTACAGTTTTAAAACTAAAACTGTTTTTAAAGTCCACAGCTCACAGCCAGGCACAGTGGTTCATGCCTGTAATCCCAGCACTTTGGGAGGCCATGGCAGGCAGATGACTTGAGGCCAGGAGTTCAAGACCAGCCTGACCAACATGGTGAAACCCCGTCACTACTAAAAATATGAAAATTAGCTGGATGTGGGGGCGCATGCCCATAATCCCAGCTACTCAGGAGGCTGAGGCATGACAATTGCTTGAACCCAGGAGGCAGAAGTTGAAGTGAGTCAAGATTGTGCCACTGTACTGCAGCCTGGGTGATAGAGTGAGACTTTGTCTCAAAAAAATAAATTTAAAAAAGCCCACAGTCCTGGGAACACCCCACAGACCAAACTGAGGCAACTGGTTACCCTAGCACAAGCAATCTTAGAATGAAAATATCAGAATCATCAGACCACTCCCTTTAATTGAATTAAACAGCCTTTATTGAATGCCTACTGTATATAAAGTACAGGCAGCCCTTCATACCCACAGGTTCCACATCCATGGATACAATCAACCATAGATCTAAAATATTTGGGGATAAAACAGTAGTAAAAATAACAATACAACAATAAAAATACAAATTTAAAAACCATATAGTATAACTATTTACATAGCATTTACATTGCAGTAGGTATTAAGTAATCTAGAGATGATTTAAAGTACACAGGAGGATGCAGTTATATGGATTGACTATGCCATTATATCAGGGACTTGAGCATCTGTGGATTCTGGTATTGCTAGGGTCCTAGAACAATCCCCAACAGATACCAAGGATGACTGTACTGTGCTGAGCAGAAATCAGTCAGGGTCCAGGCAGGAGACGGACAGTACAGCCAAACTGGGCGATTTGAGGAGAGTGTCACAAAGAGTCTATTTACAGAGGTGTGGGCATAGTTAGGGAAAACAATGAATAGAGAAGCATCCTGGGCTAGCAGGAGTGGGGGCTGCCAGCACCTGAAAGGGCAGAGGAGGCTGTCCAACCTGAACTCACCACAACCCAGGAGGAGGAGGCAAGCCCTCCCCTGCTTCACCCTACAGACTAGCACTGGTGCCTCCCACTGGGTGAATCTGACCGCAAGGCGGAGGAAGGGGGCTTGTTGATGGAGTCCTCGTCTGTCAGCACCCCAAGCCACAGAGCAGGGCCGAGTGAGTCCGGGGGCACCCAGAGAACACATAAGCCTGGCCCCTGCTCTTGGCAACTTAAAAATCTAAGGGAAACATCAAGACGTTATTTTAGGCACATACTGAGACAACTCACTAGTCCCAAAAACTGAGTGTTTAGGTCTAACCGGTCCTTGCAGAATTAAATCAAAATCAAGTTATTCATTCCTTGTGGCTCCTGACCTGGTCTGCTTTTGGTTGGAATGAATGAGCCCCGGGGGTCAAAAACAGAGATTTACGTATATGTGAAATTATTTTAGTCATCTTACATATCTACGCCAGTTTGAGGCCTGCATCTCTCCCCTCACTTTTTGTGTGTGCGTGTGTGTGAGAGAGTGAGTCTTGCTCTGTCACCCAGGCTCTGGAGTGCAGTGGCGTGATCTTGGCTCACTGCAACCTTGACCCTCCTGGGTTCAAGCGATTCTCTTGCCTCAGCTTCCTAAGTAGCTGGGACCACAGGCATGCACCCCCATGCCCAGCTAATCTTTGTTTTTTTTTGTGTTGTTGTTGTTGTTGTTTTAGTAGAGACGGGGTTTCATTATATGTTGGCCAGGCTGGTCTCAAACTGCTGACCTCATGTAATCCACCTGCCTCAGCCTCCCAAAGTGATGGGATTATAGGCGTGAGCCACCATGCCCGGCCTGTCCCCCTGCCCTTTATAATTTCAAATGTGAGGGTGTCTTTCATGTAGCATCTCAGGGCTTACTTTGTTGGGTTTACCCTGCAGTACTGTGCGCAACATCTTACCCTGAAGTAACCTGCTCTTATCGAAGGTGAGCATCTCTGTGCTTTTCCAAAATGTGTCTATTTTCGTCAAAGCCAAAAACAAAAGAGCAAATTACCAAGCAGCGTTTCACTGCATTTACTCTGTTGTCTACAACTCCTGACTTGCTAAGGGCGACTGAAATTTACAGGGGGAACATCACAGGAAATCATCAGGAATGTGAGCCCCAAAATGGTTCCCAAGTCTTATTCTTTCCATCACCATTAGTCCAAGGTTTAGAGGTTAAAATTCTAATAAATGAGCCTGGCATGGTGGCTCATGCCTGTAATCCCAGCACTTTGGAGTACACAGGTGGGCAGATCACTTGAACTCAGGAGTTCAAGACCAGCCTGGGCAACATTTGTCTCTACAAAAAATACAAAACAATTAGGCCAGCGCAGTGGCTCTCACCTGTAATCCCAGCACTTTGGGAGGCCGCGAATCACAAAGTTAGGAGTTCCAGACCAGCCTGATCAACATGGCGAGACCCTGTCTCTACTAAAAATACAAAAATTAGCTGAGCATAGTGGCGGGTGCCTGCAATCCCAGCTACTCAGGAGACTGAGGCAGGAGAATCGCTTGAACCAGGGAGACAGAGATTGCAGTGAGCCGAGATCGCAGCATTGCACTCCAGCCTAGGGGACAGGGCGAGACTCCGTCTCCAAAAAAAAAAAAATCAGCCGGACGTGCTGGCACACACCTGTGTTCCCACTTATTTGGGAGGTTGAGGTCAGAGGATTGCTTGAGCCCAGGAGACAGAAGTTACAGTGAGCTGAGATGGCACCACTGCATTCCAGTACAGCCTAGGTGACGGAGTGAGACCTGTCTCAAAAAAATAAATAAATAAAAATAAAAATAAATGAATAAATGTATCACAAAATTAGATTTCATTCTGTTAGCATTGAACTTCAGAAATTCCTCACACAATGATAGCATCATAGCAGCTAATGTCTCATGGAAAGACAAGTCTCCCTGTGAAGGGTGCTTATGATTTTTAGAAGACAAGTTAGTCTGAGACTCCATCCCTCTCTTTGTAAAATGTGGGAAATAATGGGTAACTCATTGATTGTTGTAAGGGTTAAGTAGTACAATTTCCAAAAAAATACCTAACACAAAGTAGCCTCTAAAATTAGTCTCCCCACCCTCAAACTTTCTACCTTACCCAAAGTGCATTTATACATTTAAATACATAGTTTTAGTCACTTTGTTTAATAATGTTACATTTTAGTAACTTCAGAAATATATTTTCCCCAAACCCTCCTAGAAACTCCAAATGTCTCTCTACTTCCTTGACACAAAGTAGCTATTTGCCAATACCAGGAATGAGGTGAAAGTAATAGGATATTCCATTGAACCAAGGGTTTCCAGAGAAGTGTGGGTTTCCTCCTTTCAACCTCTTCGATGTAATCTAATCACTAAGTAATGACAGTTTGTCCAAAAATGTCATACATTCAGGTGAGGAAGAAGCGTAGGAACCTCATGGATTTATGGAGAGGAAACTTAAGAACTCCTCTCAAACACCATAAAAAAAAAGCTTCTTGTCCATACATGGGGTGGATTTGCAACACAGCCTTCCACAGACTCAAGCCCATCTGTTGTTAGGAGTATGAGTTAGGACAGAACAAGGAGGAAAACTACCAAGTCATCTCTCTTCACACAAGTCCAGCCAAGTATTGACTATTTACTCAAAGCTTTCCTTGCTCCCTCCCTCTCTCTCTGTCCAGTCATTATCCCCTGCCTCCCACTCACCCCTCCCTCCACCAAATGAAGTTAAATTTCTCAAGTGCCTCCATCTGATACTGTGTTTAGCAGAAGCCCTGGGTAGATGTGGATTCTCTTTCTTGAATTTTCCCTGACAGACCGCTTCCAGCTGCCCTCTAGGGTGGGATGCCAGTGTGATAAAATACAGCGTCGTGTTTGCTGAGGATTTCAGCTGCCACCTGGGGGCTCATGCACTCAATGAGTGCTCTTTAGCAAGGCTGGTGGTGACATGGTGACAAACGGTATGTTGACTTTTTTCTGTCTGTGGTTTAGGACTGGTTGGTTTCAGTCTTGCTGGCTCTTTCTCCTGGGTTACCAACCTTTTCCACATTTAAAGGCTGTGACTGCCTCTCCTCCAGGGTTATTGCAGCAAGCTCCTTGCTATTGACAGAAGCCATTTGTTGGTTAGGGGGTTTACAACCGAGACGACCTGCAAGTACACGTTTGATAGTTAACCCATGCTTCAGAATTTGCTTTTTTTTTTTTTTTCCTTTTTTTTCTTTTTAAGGGTTCTTTCTTCAACTAAACAGTTTCTCTTCAGAGTGTTATCACTCCGCTCCCATGAAATGACTGCGACTGTTACTTCTTTTATCTCTGGTCACACCCAGCAAAATTAAGCTTGTCTGTGGATGATTAGCAGCAGGCTGGTCCCCGTCTGAGCCAATTGGCTGGATGCTTAGGTGGACTTTGCCTCGGGCTCACCCCTAAGGCCACTGCCTGTGCCGAGGCATTCCCAAGCCCCTGTCCCCCGTGTGGGCTTCCCTGCTGCATGTGGCTCTTCAGCCTCCGCGTCCTCCTCTTCACTCCCCCATCCTTGCACAGACTTCCTCTTCCATCCCGCTTGCTTCTAGAACATTTCCAATTATTGCTTCCAGGTCCTGAACACTAGTGGCTGAACTGAAAAGTGGAAAAGATGATGAAAGCCAGGCACTGAGAAAACAGTTAATGAAACTCTTCAGAGGTCTCCAGAAAGGACTGATTCCCCTGCACACCTGACAAGGAATCTTGGACTCTTGCTTATGAAAGGGAAAGGAAGTCCATTCTACTGGAGACTTGTCAAGAAATTCCAGTGAGCCCCTGGCGGAGGGCTTCAGTGGCCAGGGTAGCTTTCTGCTTTTGGTTGTAAAAAGATAGGAAAGTATCATCCTTCGAAGCGATGTCGTGGGCTCAGAGCCTTCTGTGCACTTTGCCATATTATGCCCTCTCCAGTTCTCAAGGTCAGTTGGCCATTTGAAGTGGAACAATGACTTCTCTACAATCCAGCTTTAACTATTTGCACAGTTCCATGCCATTCCACTAATTTAGTACACACCAGGGTGTACCCAGGTTTCAGTCTGGTCTCGGTTCTACCTCCCAAGCCCAGTCTCAGCACACATCTTCCCAAAGATCTTTCCTCCCAGGTCCCAGTCTCCCTCTTAGGGTCAAACCAATTCAACTTAACCCTTATTTCATATCTACTCTCTGCCTACTCAGCCCAGTGTGGTAGTCAGGCACAGAAACTCATCAATTACAACACATAGTGAGCAGGTCAACAACAGAGTGGGATAAAATTCCCTCTTCTCCAAACACACAAACCCCACTCTGTAGCATCTTTTTTCCACCCCTGAAATTCCCCCAAACAGACTATCCCTTGTGCTGGCATGCAGCAAGATCCTAAAGAGGCCCTACAGCATGTTTTTCTCAGGCTTTTTTCAAGCCTTTTTCCAATCTACTTTCCCTGAAACTTTATTTTGTGTCCATATACACACACTAGAATCAACAAGTTGTACTGAGCATGCAAAGCCCACATCCACATTTCTAGACCTTGATACCTCCTCAGACCTCTGGCACATCTAAAGCCCAGACCAAATGGGATTACTCCCAGGATAGACATTGCTTTAGAGAAGAGAATATTCATCACACCTAGGCATGGATCTGAGACATCCTCACATGTTCACATACAGAAGGCCCATTCCTTAAGTAATTAGAAATCCATCATCTAAAAAAAAAAATTACCAAATCACATTTTGATTAGGATTAAAAGGTAGAGGCTGGGCATGGTGACTCATGCCTGTAATCCCAGCACTTTGGGAGGCCAAGGCAGGTGGATCACTTGAGGTCAGGAGTTTGAGACCTGTATGGGCAACAGGGTGAAATCCTATCTCTACAAAAAATACAAAAATTAGCTGTGCATGGTGGTGCATGTATGTGGTCCCAGCTACTCAGGAGGCTGAGGTGAGAGAATCACTTGAGCCTGGGAAGCGGAGGTTGCAATGAGCCACGATCATGCTACTGCACTCCAGCCTGGGCCATAAAATAAGACTCTGTCAAAAAAAAAAAAAAAAAAAAAAAAAAAAAAAAAGACAGAGACAATAGTACAGTACCTTGAAATATCCAAAAACTCAAAAGCTTTTCTATTCTGAAAGCATCAGGCAATTTTCTTACAATAAATATATTTTTCTGATGAGGGTTTACTGGAAATATTACCAGAACAAGTGTCTCCAACCACTTTCAGTCTGGAAAATGATAAAGGTGAGTTCTTGGTGGCACAGAGAAACCAGCCTGAGATTACAAACCTTTGCTGGAGGTAACTACAGAAGCGACCATGGAGACTTAATTCTGTGTTTTTCTGAGATTCTATAATTAGGTAATGTCATTTACATGCTTCCAAGTGAGGGAAGGAAATTCTTTGGAGACAAAGCGTAACGGTTCCAGTTCTGGCACCAAATGTCTTCCTGCTCAGCAAGTCCATTTTAAAGCCTTGTTCGTGAACTAAGCTGAGTTCTCCTACAGAGGCAGAGTGAAGAGTCAAGGAAATGTGAAGATTGGCCGGGCACGGTGGCTCATGCCTGTAATCCCAGCACTTTGGGAGGTTGAGGCGGGCAGATCACAAGGTCAGGAGTTCGAGACCAGCCTGACCAACATGGTGAAACCCCATCTCTACTAAAAATACAAAATTAGCCAGGCGTGGTGGTGCATGCCTGTAATCAAAGCTACTTGGGAGGCTGAGGCAGAAGAATCGCTTGAACCCAGGAGGCGGAGGTTGCAGTGAGCCGAGATTGCGCCATTGCACTCCAGCCTAGGCAGCAAGAGTGAAACTCCATCTCAAAAAAAAAAAAAAAAAAAGGAAGAAAGAGAGAACATACCTCTTTCAGCATCGCCTCGCAGGGTCCTCCCTTTCTCTGTGATTCCAACAGTATTCTCTGAAACAACAGAAGAGTTGGCCTCCCTCACTTGCCTGAACATGCAGTTGCAGTTCAATGCCTCACTCCCCACGCCATTCTGGTGACTTTCCTCTGCACACATTCCACCTTGCTGTCCCTCTTAATTGTTAGCACCTATTTGGCAAATATGCTGGAAAAATATTTCCAAAAAAAGCTAAACGTGGTTGTTTGGAGTGATGAGATTCCCGGTAACACTGTTGTTTGCTGCTGCTTTGCGTGTTTTCAACGGCTGGGCTTGGAACAAGTACAGGTATTCCTTTGCTCATTCTGTCACGATGCTCAGCATTGACTGTGCTGTTCTGACTAGTGTGACTACTCCATTGCTGGCATCTCCTGTGTCCGGAACATTACACTTCTGGTAATACACTATACGATTGTATTTGTCTTTTTCAAAACCACTTAACACCTTCAGTTTATATAAATCTTGTAGCTAGCTGAAGCCTCCAGGTCTTTTTCACATGAAGTGTTCACATAAATCATGGATCTCCCAACCTATTTTCATCTTTATGAGTAGTTAAGACATAAATCCTTCTTACAATATTAAAGGGTACTAGTGTATTAAACTACCTAAATAACAAGCATGCCTTTTAAAGGGGCTGTCGTGATCTAATTCAAATGGTAAGAATTCCAGGGTCTATGTCAGGTGCCTCTGGCTCCCTCTGTCTCTCATCCTTCCATTGTGGATCCACAAAACATTTCTTGAAATGTTGCCTCCTGGCCAGGTGCGGTGGCTCATGCCTGTAATCCCAGCACTTTGGGAGGCGGAGGTAGGAAGATCACTTGAGGTCAGGAGTTCGAGACCAGAGCCTGGTCAACATAGTGAAACCCCGTCTCTATTAAAAATACAATAATTAGCCAGGTGTGGTGGCATGCACCTGTAATCCCAGCTACTCAGGAAACTGGGGCAGGAGAATCACTTGAATCCCAGAGGCAGAGGTTGCAGTGAGCCAACATCGCACCACTGCACCCCAGCCTGGGTGACAGAGCAATACTCTGTCTCAAAAAAAAAAAAAAAAAAAAAAAGCTTCCTGCAAAAATTAATATGCAAGAAAATTCAAGGGACTAGTAATCTGTGGAAGGGGAAGATGGTAATGTTTTCTTTCTTTTGGGCGTCAATTACATGAGGTCATTTTATTTTATAATATATTGTCTTGTATGAATGAAATAGTCCACGATACAAATTTTAAATATGTGATAATTTAAAAGTAATATGTAGAGTTGATTTAAAACAGGAAGAAATGGCTGGACATGGTGGTCCATCCCCGTAACCCCAGCACTCTGGGATGGGAGGCTGAGACAGGAGGATCACTTGAGCCAAGGAGTTTGGGACTGGCCTGGGCAACATAGCAAGATCCTGTCTCTACAAAAAATACAAAAATTAGCTAAGCATGATGACGCATGCTTGTAGTTCCAGCTACCCAGGAGGCTGAGGTGGGCAGTTTGCTTGAGCCCCAGAGATTGCAAATGTAGTGAGCTATGATTATGCCACTGCACCCCAGCCTGGGCAACAGAGCCAGACCCTGTCTCTAAATTAATTAGTTAATTTAATTTAATCGGAAGAAATGGTTGGGCACTGTGGCTCATGCCTGTAATCCCAGCACATTGGGAGGTAGAGGCTGGAGGATCACTTTAGGCAAGAAATTCAAGACCAGCCTGAGCAAGAGAGCAAGACCCCATCTCTACAAAAACATTAAAAAATAAAAAATTCACTAGGCATCGTAGTGAGTGCCTATAGTCATAGCTACTCAGGAGGCTAAGGGGGGAGGATTGCTCAAGCCTGGGAGTTAGAGGCTGCAAATGAGCTGTGGTTGCATCACTGCACTCCAGCCTGGGCAACAGAGACAGATCTTTTTTTTTTTAAAAAAAAAAAAAAAAAAAAAAAGTAGGGAAAAAAATTCTCAGTATCCCTTCAATTTTGAGGGGGAAAAAAAGGTAATGGTAAAAAATGAGGAGACAGCAATAGATAAGCAAATGAAAGGGAGGAAAAAAGATTTAAGATTGAAAAGGAAAATGAAAGAAAAGATAGAGGCCTGGAAGACAGGCAGAGATAGGAGGATTAGATGGAGTATTTGGCTGAACAGGGATGACACAGGCGGTGAGGAGTCCCTGCAGCGCTGCAGAGTGAGAGAGAGAGGAACAGCGAAAGCTACTTCCGATCCTCCAAGAAACGTCAGCAAATCCATCCTATTCCTTAGCATTCTGCTTCAACCACCTAAGGCAGTCAGCCTCCCACTGCTATTCAGCCTGTGTGGCCCAGAGCCAGGAAGCGCGTTCCCTCGCAGCTCTGGGTACAGATTCCCTGTACACATGAGTGTCTCCCTCCCGGTGACTCAGCTGCTCTGCTTTCCTCTCCTTCCCCAGGGCCTGAGCAGTAGCCTGCCTGATAACGATCAAGCAGAGCCCTGCAAGTTTCAAGAGGAATGTCAATGACTCTTCACTGAAGCCTCCCAGGTAGGCAGGCAGTGACAATCCAGGGCTTTCCTGGCCACAGTGCAATCCTAACTTCAGGGTAAAAGCCATGTCCCTGTGTCCCTACAGCATGGCAAAATCATTTCCAGTTGGATTTAAAAGTTTCATGTTTTTAAAAAAATGAAACCATAAAAATGAATGTGACTCAGATAAAGTAAAAAAAAAAAAAAAAAAAAAGTCAGTGGTCGTGTGTTTTTAAAAAGACAGAGAACAAATGGATAAATATTACAGAAGACCAGTGTAAATTGTTTAGTGCACACCATGAAATACTTTTTTCAACCTCTGGCTCCAAATCTCCAAATTTTTGTCCCCTTCCTTACTCCTTGGGCTGAATAGACAGCCTTTTAATCACTCAGTTTCAAGAAAAACTTCATTCTGTTCATTAAGACTCCATCTCAGGTATGAAAAGTTCAGTAAGTGAAGGCAAAGATTAATTTTATATTCATTTAAAGGCTTTTCCCCTCCACCTAAGGCCAGGCTCACAGCCCCTGTTTTGGAAGGTGGGCTGTTTGCTCCCTCTGCATTTTACTAGTCTTCTCCTCTCTTTCTCTGCAGTTTCTTTTTCTTTTCTTTTCTTTCTTTCTTTCTTTTTTTTTTTTTCTTGAAACAGAGTCTCACTCTGTTGCCCAGGTTGGAGTGCAATGGCACAATCTCATCTCACTGCAACCTCCGCCTCCTGGGTTCAAGCCATTCTCCTGCCTCAGCTACCCAAGTAGCTGGGATTACAGGTGATGGCTAATTTTTGTATTTTTAGTAGAGATGGGGTTTCACCATGTTGGCCAGACTGGTCTCGAACTCCTGACCTCAGGTGATCCATCTGTCTCAGCCTCCCAAAGTGCTGGGATTATAGGCATGAGCCACCACGCCCAGTCCTCTCTCTGCTGTTTCTGACTCCTCTGGCGTTGTGGGGAAGGGAGGGGAAAGGACTAGGGGAAAGGTGCTTTTATGTAAGTCATGCAGCTGTCCTGATAGTCAAGCTCTCTCTGGGAAGGTCCCCTCGTGTGGGCTCAAGAGACCTTTGAGGGTCTCTCCAGGGCACTGTTGTCTGATGCATACTGGGTCACCTCAGAGTCCCACTCCTAGGCTCCTGCCATCCCCATCACAGCCTGGGGGATGTGAGGCAGGGGTCTCCGCACCAGCCAGCCACCTTGGGCGGGGCACAGGTCAGACGGCCTGAGTCACTGTCTGCTGCATTCACTTGGCCCACAGCACATCCTTCCACTCCACATTCCAAATGGAGAGAGTGTTGCTGCTCTCTCTGTCCGCTTTCTCTTCATCCCGCTGGGACGGGCTGCTCCAGCAAGACTTTTGCATTCAGAATTCTCTAGATGAAAAGGAGAGACCAGTTTCTATGTTCAGTCAGACTCCTAATTCAGTGAGGGGGAAGGGGAGGGCACAGGGATGGGAAGTTGGGGGATGGGGATGGAGGGAAGATGGGGATGGGAAAGAGGACGGGTCCACCTCTCTCAAACTTTCTCATTATTCTGTGCCAGTGTCAGCACCAGGATGGGCCTTCAGACCCCAGCATCTCCGCGAGCAGTGAGCAAAGCGGGGCACAGCAGCTTCCCACTTACAGGTAGGTCTTGGTTTCTCCCAGTGGCAAGCTTGGAGTCCTTCATCTGGCAAGGAAGAGCCGGTAGGGGAATCGCCCCACACCACACTCTCCCTTTACATCTTTCCTGTGCGTGGCTCCCTTTGGAGGTATGGTGAAGCTGTGGACTCCTTAGAATGATGTTTTTGGCCGGGCATGGTGGCTCACGTCTGTAATCCCAGCACTTTGGGAGGCCGAGGCGGGTGGATCACCTGAAGTCTGGAGTTCGAGACCAGCCTGACCAACATGGAGAAACCCCATCTCTACTAAACATACAAAATTAGCCGGGGGTGTGGTGGCGTATGCCTGTAATCCCAGCTACTCAGGAGGCTGAGGCGGGAAAATCACTTGAACCTGGGAGGTAGAGGTTGCAGCGAGCTGAGATCGCTCCATTGCACTCCAGCATGGGCCACAAGAGTGAAACTCCATCTCGAAAAAAAAAAGTTGTACATATTTAATGTATAAGTGCACCCCCATGAAACTATCACCACAGTCTATGTTATAAACATATCCATCATCTCCAAAAGGTTCCCCCTGCCCTCTGTATTTATGTGCACGTGATAGAGAGAGGGGCGGGGATGAGAGCACTTAACAGTTAAGATCTACCCTCCTGGTAAATGTATGCAAGTTCTGTTAACTACAGGCAGCATGCTCTCCAGTAGCTCTTTAGAACTCATTCATCTTGTATAAGGGAAATATTGTACCCTTTGACCAACACCTCCTGTTTCCGGCTCCCCTAGCCCCTGGCAACCATCATTCCACTCTGCGCTTCTATGCGTTTGACTATTTTACATTCTTCAAGTAAGTGAAATGATGTAGTGGTTGTCCTTCTGCTTCTGACTTCTTTCACTTAGATGATGTTTTATTAAAACATGATATGACAAGGTCTAACAGTGATTTCTAACTAGTGATGAGTATAAAGGTATTTTGCTATATATGCAACAGCTGTATGTAATATGAAAACACGTGTGCTTTCTACTAGAGACTAAGTTACGGTTGTTGCTAGTACTACTGTAGTTTGTTGCCTACATTCATAATTGGGGGAAGTGCAACATTTCAGCTAGAGGATAGTGAAAATAAGGATGGAATAGTTTTCCCTTTCATGTTCACAACGTGCTAAGGACGGATAAAGAACCCATGCCCTAGACTGAGTACTGCCTGCTGGAGGGAATCCTCCCACAGCCTTCCTGGCCTCTGCTTATACAGGTCAGGAGGGTGCAGGGGACATGGCTGCAGGGCCGGTTTGGTGGCCTCTTGGTGAGGTTTGCAGAATCACCTAGCAACTCCCCTAGGAGTGGAGAGATGTTAAAGCCAATCCCACTGAGCTTTGGGACAAGCAGCTCTGAAATGACAGAACGAGTTCCCTAAATGGTCTGTTACTGTGACTCCTGTTTATGTTTGATGTTCACGAAATATTCTGGAATTGATACCCAAGAAAATGCTAATAGTGATGACCTCTGGGGAGTAGAGATGGAAATTGAGAGGAAAAGAAGGGAATTTCTTTTCATGTGAAACTCCTTTGTACTGTCTTTAAAAATAATAATAAACATCTTGTTTATATGATGAAAAACAAGTTGTAAAGACAACTGTGAAAGTTTTTCTGAAGGAAACCATACGTGACTTTAACTGATTTGAGGCAAGTAGAAGCTTTCTAAGTATAAAAGTAATAAAAGGAATGATAGGGGAAATTGATAGATTTGATTACACACACACACACACACACACAAAGATGCAAAACACAACAATGTCACAGACCAAAAATAAAAAACTTAAGACAAATTTGGAACAAAAATTAAACAAAAGGGGCTGGGCGCAGTGGCTCACGCCTGTAATCGCAGTATTTTGGGAGGCCAAGGTGAATCACCTGAGGTCAGGAGTTTGAGACCAGCCTGGCCAACATGGTGAAACCCTGTCTCTACTGAAAATTCAAAATTAGCATGGTGGTGCATGCCTGAAATCCCAGATACTCAGGAGGTTGAGGCAGGAGGATCCCCTGAAACTGGGAGGTAGAGGTTGCAGTGAGCCGAGATCATGTTGTATTCCAACCTGGGCAACAACAGCGAAACTCCGTCTTTTTTTTTTTTTTTTTTTTTTTTTTTTTGAGACAGAGTCTTGCTCTGTCGCCCAGGCTGGGGTGCAGTGGCCGGATCTCAGCTCACTGCAAGCTCCGCCTCCCGGGTTTAGACCATTCTCCTGCCTCAGCCTCCCGAGTAGCTGGGACTACAGGCACCCGCCACCTCGCCCGGCTAGTTTTTTGTATTTTTTTAGTAGAGACGGGGTTTCACCGTGTTAGCCAGGATGGTCTCGATCTCCTGACCTCATGATCCGCCCGTCTCGGCCTCCCAAAGTGCTGGGATTACAGGCTTGAGCCACCGCGCCCGGCCGAAACTCCGTCTTAAAAAAAAAAAAAAAAAAGTAGCCAGGTGCCTCAGCCTCCCAAGTAGGTGGGACTGCAGGCACACACCACCATGCCTGGCTAATTTTTGTATTTTTTGTAGAGAGAGGGTTTCTCCATGTTGGCCATGATGGTCTTGATCTCTTGACCTTATGATCCGCCTGCCGTGGCATCCCAAAGTGCTGGGATTATAGGTGTGAGCCATTGCACCCAGCTGGAAATGGTTTCTTAAATAAGACCCCAAATGGACAAATGTTTGAAAACATAAATTGAATTACATGAAAGTTGAAAACGTCAACACAATAACAGACATCTTAGAAAAAATTTAAAAAGACAAAAGCCTAAAGGAAAGTGTTTACAACAAGAAAAACAAAGCATTAATATACAAAACATGCTAAAATTATTTTAAATAAACTTTAAAGAAAATACAATAAAAAATGAGTAAATGATACATATGATAATTCACAGAAGAAACAGATATAGTCAACAAATACAGGCTGGGCTCTATGGCTCCCTGCACTTTGGGAGGCTGAGGCAAATGGGTCACTTGAGGCCAGGAGTTGGAGACCAGCCTGGCCAACATGGTGAACCCCACCTCTACTAAAAATACAATAAATTAGCCAGGCATGGTGGTGCACACCTGTAATCCCAACTACTAGGGAGGCTAAGGCACAAGAATCATTTGAACCTGGGAGGCAGAGGTTGCAGTGAGCCAAGATTGCACCACTGCACTCCAGCGTGGGTGACCGAGTAAGACTCTGTCTCAAAAAAGTAATAATAAGTAAAAATAAAAATAAAACAAATGCAGGAAAAGTTGTACAGCTTTACCACAAACATGTAAACGCAAATAAATCCACATTTCACTCCCACAAATCATTTCACTCTCCCATACGATTAGAAAAACTTTAGAATTTTGATAAAACCAAGTGTTAGAGAGGATCATGGGAAACCAAAGATTCTCATGCACTATTAGGGGGAAGGCAAACTGATTCAATCACTTTGGAGAACAATTTGGCATTATCCAGCAAAGTAGAAAATGAGTACAACCTCTGACCCAATTCTGCTTCTGAAGAAACACTTGTACATGTGTGCAAAGAGACAAATAAAGATGTTTACTGCAGCATTGCTTTATAGCAGAGATTAGCTGGAACTAGCTCAAATGTCTGTGTGTAGAAGAATGGATAAATAAACTACAATGGAACAATATGCGCAGTAAAAAAAAGGAACCAGGTTTATACGTAGCAACATTGAGGAATTATTGAAAATAGTGTTGTGGCCTGGCACAGTGGCTCACGCCTGTAATCCCAGCATTTTGAAAGGACAAGGCAGGCGGATCACCTGAGGTCGGGAGTTCGAGACCAGCCTGACAATATGGAGAAACCGCATCTCTACTAAAAACACAAAATTAGCCGGGTGTGCTGGCACATGCCTGTAATCCCAGCTACTTGGGAGGCTGAGGCAGGAGAATCGCTTGAACCCGTGAGGCGGAGGTTGCAGTGAGCCGAGATAGCGCCATTGCGCTCCAGCCTGGGCAACAAGAGCAAAACTCTGTCTCAAAAATAAATAAATAAATAAATAAATAATAAAATAAAATAAAATAAAAACAATGTTAAGGCCAGGCACAGTGGCTCACTCCTGTAATCCCAGCACTTTGGGAGGCTGAGGTAGGTGAATGACCTGAGGTCAGGAGTTCAAGACCAGCCTGGCTAACATGGTGAAACCCCATTTCTACTAAAAACACAAAAAATTAGCCAGGCATGGTGGCAGGCACCTGTAATCCCAGCTACTCGGGAGGCTGAGACAGAAGAATCACTTGAACCTGGGAGGCAGAGGTTGCAGTGAGCCAAGATTGCACCATTGCACTCCAGCCTGGGTGACAAGAGTGAAACTCTGTCTCAAAAAAAAAAGTTGAGTTAAAAAAAATGCTGCAGTTTTATACAGTATACCACTTAATATTCTTAAATACCCAAAGCAACATTAAATATTTATAGATATATTTCTACCTAGTAAAAGCATAAAAAGGTGATTGAGGCCGGGCATGGTGGCTCATGCCTGTAATCCCAGCACTTTGGGAGGAGAGGCAGGCAGATCACCTGAGGTCAGGAGTTCGAGACCAGCCTGACCAACATGGAGAAACCCCATCTCTACTAAAAAACACAAAATTTGCTGGCAATGGTGGCACATGCCTATAATCCCAGCTACTTGGGAGGCTGAGACAGGAGAATCGCTAGAACCCACGAGGCAGAGGTTGTGGTGAACAGAAATCACGCCATTGCACTCCAGCCTGGGCAACAAGAGTGAAACTCTGTTTCAAAAAAAAGAAAAGAAAAGAAAAGAAAAAGGTGATTGATACACACTAAATTTCTGATGGAAAGGAAATTGGGAAGGAAACAGGAGAAGTGTTATTGTACTTTTCTATACTTTAAAAAAACTTTTCCAAAAAAAGCAGTACATGTGAAATTACGAAGGAGAGTGTCTGACTTTTATTATGTACTTACTAAATTATAGCTATTCTTGAAGTTATCTATCAAGAACAGGTGCTAAAATGTACTTGGGTCCTATGTCCCAACTACACCAACTGGTGGCTTCTCCTCATTCCACACATGTGCTAACAGCAGGCTCTGCGTATCACACAACAACATGGTACGAGCCTTGAGCCTCATGTTAAGCCAGCGCTTCTCAACCTAGGGACAATTTTCACCGCCAGGGGACACTTGGCAATGTCTGGAGGCATTTTAGTTGTCACAGCTGGGGCAGAGGGCATTGCTACTAGAATGTAGAGTGTCGAAGCCAGGAAAGCTGCTGACCATCCTGTGACTCCCAGGCAACCCCCATCACAAAGAATCATCTGGTCCAAATGTCAATAGTGCTGAGGTTGAGAAACCTAATGTAAGCTCATAGAAAATAACATAAATAACCGTTGCATTGAATCTAATGTACTAAATTTAACTATTTTTTCTGATGAGTCCTTTTTATAAATTATCAGACAAGTGAAGCCACATCTTCTTTCTAATCTTTCTTTCTAATATTGGAAACTGACTAGACCAGAGAGTGTGGGTGATAGAGCTGCTTCTGCCAAAACCATGACCTCTGGTTTCTCTTCTCCGTATCCACAGCAGGCAGAATGGCATCTGTTGGAAAGGGCATATACTCTATAATCTTTTTTTTTTTTTTAGATGGAGTCTCGCTCTGTCACCTAGGTTGGAGTACAGTGGTGCGATCTCGGCTTGCTGCAACCTCCGCCTCCCAGGTTCAAGCGATTCTCCTCCCTCAGCCTCCCTAGTAGCTGGGATTACAGGCATGCACCACCATGCCTGGCTGATTTTTGTATTTTTAGTAGAAACAGGGTTTCACCATGTTGGCCAGGCTGGTCTCTAACTCCTGACCTCCAGTGAGCCACCTGCCTCAGCCTCCCAAAGTGCTGGGATCATCCATGTGAGCCACCGCACCTGGCCTCTATAATCATTTTAATTGGGCAAGATATTATGGAATTTTTTTTTCAATCATGAAAATTAATCAGGCTTGCATTCTAATTCAGTCTAACCCTGGCTATTTCTAAAGCTAAAGGAAGCACAACACAGGTATTTCTTTTCAACCTCCCAGGAAATAGTTCAACGGATCCATGGACCAGATGTCAAACCCACACCATTAAATCACCTTCTCCATAGTCTTAAAGTTCAATTGGCCACGTCATGCATGGAGAGTCTACCAATCATGGTTACATTCAGCTTCATAGCAGAAAACTGCAAAAGACAAAGGCTTATACAAGATTAAATTTCATTTCTCTCTCAGTTAAAAGAAATCTAGAGATAAGCAGTCCAGAGCTGCTTTGGTAGCTCCATGACATCATCATGCTCCATAGCATTCTCTGTGCCCCTCATCCTCATAGTTCCAGACGCCGGCTGAAGCTCTGCCAGAACATCCCTGTTTCTAAGTTCAAATCAGCAGGAAGGAGGAGGGAAGGGCATGCCTCTACTCTTTTAAGAGCCCTTCCAGGCAGTTCCTTGCAACCCAACTACCTTTATCTCATTGGCCAGAATTTAATTACCTGACCATACCTAATGGTCAAGGAGGCAGGGAAATACAGATTTCTAGCTGCGCAGCAATGTGCCTGGGTAAAAGTCAGGATTTCTTTGCTAAAGGAGAAGCAAAGGGTGGGTTTTGGAAGGCAGCTAGTAGTTGATGCCGTAGACTGCTCCCCTGGCATGCAGTGGTGCAATCTTGGCTCACTGCAACCTCTGCCTCCTGGGCTTAAGTGACCCTCCCAGTTCAGTCTCACAGGTAGCTGGGATTATAGGCGCATGCCACCACAACTGGCTAATTAAAAAAATATTTTTTGTTTTTTATTTTTTGTAGAGACGGGGTTTCACTATGTTGCCCAAGCTGGTCTTGAATTCCTGGGCTCAAGTGATCTGAGTAATCCCAAAGTATTGGGGTTACAGGCATGAGCCACCACATCCAGCCTTTCCCCACTTTTCTAATGTGAGTTTTTCTGTGTGTCTGCTTATTCTGCTCCTATGCCAGCAATTATATTGCATGTAAATGCAGATAACCTTTTTTGCTTTGCAAATTACCAGACCATGAGGAGGCACATGCAGACGTGATAGAGCACATCACTTAGAGATTCTGGACTTTGAGATGCACTAACTGGATGGGAAATGCCTGGGTCTACACAGGGGCAGAAGAGTATTCATGAGTGAAACTCCTTCATGAGTATTCATGAGTGAAACCCCGTCTCTACAAAAAATAAAAAACAAAAAAAATTTTTTTAATTAGCCAGGTGTGGTGGCGTGTGCCTGTAGTCCCAGCTACTTGGGAGACTGAGGTGGGAGGGTCATTTAAGCCCAGGAGGCAGAGGTTGCAGTGAGCCAAGATTGCACCACTGCAGTTCCAGCCTAGGTGACAAAGACCCTGGCTCAAAAAAAAAAGGAGGAAAGAGAAATATTGCAGGTATTTGTCCATAGCAATGATCAAATCCTGCTGGATAGGAAAGGCAAGGACTTCCTTTGCTGGCAGAGAAGGTCATTCCTTGATTGAACTGCTGCCTTGGGGGAACTCTCTTGTCCATTGCCTGCATGGTCTCTGGCTTTGCCTTCTCGGGGGTTCTGCCTTGTCCGTTTTCCTCCATGGCTATATCTGAGATCCCTGGGCACTCGAGATAGGATCATCTTGAAGCTGCATGGTTTCCACAGCGAACTTCTTGCTGGTGCAGGTGCAGGTTCCCAGGAATTCTTTTCAGAGTTGACTAATCAGAAGTTTTTGCAGACCAAGCTTGAGGTTTCTGTCCAAACATAGTAAGTTTCCATCCAATATCTTTGCTTCGAGTCAATTCTGAGTGTGGGTTACTACAGCCTAACACTGTGTCCAGAAACACTTCTCATGCCCGAAGGCTCTGATCTTTTATTTAGAGCTCTTTATGCTCTGCCCAATCTTTCCCTCTCCAATTGGCCTGGCTGCCTTGAGACCATTTGAAAGAAGAAAGAAGTTGGGTGAGATGGGAACACCCTTAATGCAATTTTTGTGTCTGGGCTTGTTTCCATTGTCTGGCAATGAACCTAAGAAGATGCTCAGAAAGTGCCTGGGGCCACAGCCTTATCTCCTGCCAAGGCTGGATGGGCTTGCACTCACTAGAAGTTGTATTTTTCATCCTACGAGACTCCCAGTTACAGGACTCACAGCCGAGTTTAGATTACAGGCAGAGTCTAATCTTTACAAAGCCATGTTTCCTTCCATCTCTGTTGGCAGGCAGAATAGCTCCAGATGAGTTTATATCTTTATCACAGTTCCTAGCTAAAAGCCACAAGATGCAATCAATACAAACCAAAATTTTATACTTCTTACCCTTTCCCCCAGCTACATCTTTGGTTTGCATGTTGCTTGCTTTATATTATTCAGGAAATGACAATTTTTATCAAATGTTTTGCTACAGCATAACAAGGGTCACTAATTTTCCAGCTGATAATATCAGCTCATCATTGCTCCATATCTGATCTTCTCCACTAACCCAATGACACAATTGGATTTTATTATATATATCATCCAACTCGTGGGTGTTGAATTTTATGTTGATTAGGATAAGGTTTAGTTGCATAAAACAGGAAAATGCAAAATACTAGGTGTTGAAACATAATACAAGGTGGTAACCCCACAGATGTGGCTTGTCAGATGTGGCTTGTCAGATGTGTAGTATGATAAGAAACACACATTTGCTGATTAATTATAACTGTTCCTAGTAATAATTATAATAGTTCCTACTAATGACTTGTACCTGAGCGTATATGACTTAGATAAAAAACCTACAGATGAGTGTGATAAAAGCTCCTTTTCCTATGTAGCTTGTGAGACTTTTCTCAAGTTGGAACAGAATTTAAGATGTTGTTTCTCATACTGCCCAAGGTAATTTATAGATTCAATGCCATCCCCATCAAGCTACCAATGACTTTCTTCACAGAATTGGAAAAAAAACTGCTTTAAAGTTCATATGGGACCAAAAAAGAGCCCACATTGCCAAGAAAATCCTAGGCCAAAAGAACAAAGCTGGAGGCATCACACTACCTGACTTCAAACTATACTACAAGGCTACAGTAACCAAAACAGCATGGTACTGGTACCAAAACAGAGATATAGATCAATGGAACAGAACAGAGCCCTCAGAAATAATATCACACATCTACAACCATCTGATCTTTGACAAACCTGACAAAAACAAGAAATGGGGAAAGGATTCCCTATTTAATAAATGGTGCTGGGAAAACTGGCTAGCCGTATATAGAAAGCTGAAACTGGATCCCTTCCTTACACCTTATACAAAAATTAATTCAAGATGGATTAAAGACTTACATGTTAGACCTAAAACCATAAAAACCGTAGAAGAAAACCTTGGCAATACCATTCAGGACATAGGCATGGGCAAGGACTTCATGTCTAAAACACCAAAAGCAATGGCAACAAAAGCCAAAATTGACAAATGAAATTTAATTAAACTAAAGAGCTTCTGCACAGCAAAAGAAACTACCATCAGAGTGAACAGGCAACCTACAGAATGGGAGAAAATTTTTGCAATCATCTGACAAAAGGCTAATATCCAGAATCTACAAAGAACTCAAACAAATTTACAAGAAAAAAAACAAACAACCCCATCAAAAATTGGGCAAAGGATATGAACAGACACTTCTCAAAAGAAGACATTTATGCAGCCAACAGACACATGAAAAAATGCTCATCATCACTGGCCATCAGAGAAATGCAAATCAAAACCACAATAAGATACCATCTCACACCAGTTAGAATGGCAATCATTAAAAAGTCAGGAAACAACAGGTGCTGGAGAGGATGTGGAGAAATAGGAACACTTTTGCACTATTGGTGGGACTGTAAACTAGTTCAACCATTGTGGAAGACAGTATGACAATTCCTCAAGGATCTAAAACTAGAAATACCATTTGACCCAGCCATCCCAAGGAGTATAAATCATGCTGCTATAAAGACACATGCACACATATGTTTATTGTGGTACTATTCACAATAGCAAGCTTGGAACCAACCCAAATGTCCATCAATGATAGACTGGATTAAGAAAATGTGGCACATATACACCATGGAATACTATGCAGCCATAAAAAAGGATGAGTTAATGTCCTTTGTAGGGACATGGATGCAGCTGGAAACCATTATTCTCAGCAAACTATCGCAAGGGGATACCATCATTCTCAGCAAACTATAGGAAGGGGAACATCACACACCAAGGTCTATCATGGGGTGGGGGAAGTGGGGAGGGATAGCGTTAGGAGATATACCTAAGGTAAATGATGAGTTAATGGGTACAGCACACCAACATAGCACATGTATACACATGTAACAAACCTGAATGGTGTGCATATGTACCCTAGAACTTAAAGTATAATAAAAAATTAATAATAATAAAAAAGAAAATGTGGCACATATACACCATGGAATACTATGCAACCATAAAAAATGATGAGTTCATGTTCTTTGCAGGGACATGGATGAAGCTGGAAACCATCATTTTCAACAAACTATCACAAGGACAGAAAACCAAACACTGCATGTTCTCACTCATAGGTGGGAGTTGAACAATGAGAACACACGGACACAGGGCAGGGAACATGACACAACAGGGCTTGTCAGGGGGTGGGGGGGCTGGGGGGAGGGATAGCATTAGAAGAAATACACAATGTAAATGACAAGTTGATGAGTGCAACAAACCAACAGGGCACATGTATAACTATGTTACGAACCTGCATGTTGTACACATGTACCCTAGAACTTAAAGTATAATAAAAAAAAAAAAGAAAAAGGAAAAAAAAGATGTTGTTTCTCATAAGGAGAAATCCGAAGATTTTATGATAATGTCGACTAATTCCTGACCCAGAAGTCTGCAGAGGCTGGTGAGGGAGGGGTGGGGAGCCGAATCACTACTGAGCAGGACAAAGGTCAGATGGGAGTTGGGAAGGACAGCATGGAGGGAAGCCATCGTGGGGGCCCATCAGTCCAGAATCTGACTATAAAATTGCTAAATAGCTCAGGCACGAAGTCTCACACTGCAATCCCAGCACTCTGGGAGGCTGAGGTGGGAGGATTGCTTGAGGCCAGGAGTTTAAGGCCAGCCTAGACAGCATGGTAAAACCCTGTCTCTACAAAAAATTTTTAAAATAGCCAGGGGTGTGGTGCTGCACGCCTGTAGTCCTAGCTACTCAGCAGGCTGAGGCAGGAGGATTGCTTGAGCCCAGGAGTTCAAGGCTGCAGTGGGCTATGATTGAACCCACTGCACTTCAGCCTAAACAACAGAGCAAGACCCTGTCTCAAAAAAAAAAAAAAATTGTCAAATTATGAGACAAAGAGAAAGAAAAATGCATGTTGACATCAAAGAGAAGTCCAGAGTCTTACTGCCACCGATTACTAAAAGAACCAATATTTCTTGTCACTATGTGCCAGGCAGTGTACTAAATTCTTTACACACCTTTACTAATCTCTGAAAACCTTATGAGGTAGATACTACTATGATCTTCATTTTACAGATAAGGAAACCGAGGCTAAAAGAGGTTAAGTTTTCCAAGGTCATAGCAGATGGCAGAGCCAAGACTTGAACTCAGGTCTCTCAGAGAGCAATGCTAATCTCTTAACCTCTATGGTAAACTGTTTGTAAAGTAGATTTGAGCTTATTGTTTTGTTGTTTTTTTTTCCAAAGGAATGACTCTCAACTGTGTTAACTATTCAACACTAGCCCATCATTCATCACCTGTGTAATCAGTCTGGCATAATTATGAGAGAAGACATCTCAGACATATATTTCTTTTCTTTTTAGAGACAGGCCCCTAGCTCTGTTGCCCAGGCTGGAGTGCAGTGGCATGATTATAGCTCACTGCTGCCTCAGTCTCCAACTCCTAGGCTCAAGCAATCCTCCTGCCTCAGCCTCCCAAGTAGCTAGGACTACAGGCAGGTGCCACTATACCTGGCTAATTTTATTTGTTGTAGAAGAGGTCTCACTATATTGCTCAGGCTGGTCTTGAATTACTGGCCTCAAGCAATCCTCCAGGCTCAGCCTCCCAAAGTGCCAGGATGACAGGCCTGAGCCACCTCGCCTGGTCTACCCCAGCCATACTTTACTAATTTGTATTTATAAGCCACATGTCATGGTCTCTATGAATAAAAAGGGGGAAAGGAAGAGGTTGGCACTTAGGAAAATGAGAAAATAGACCAAGTATGATTTGAAGACCTCTTACTCCTCTCTTAGAAAACCCCCCTCTTTCCCTCTCTCCTTTCTTTCATCAAACACCTAGTGTTGGCCGGGTTCGGTGGCTCACGCCTGTAATCTCAGCACTTTGGGAGGCTGAGGTGGGCAGATCACTTGAGGTCAGGAGTTCAAGACCAGCCTGGCCAACATAGTGAAACCCCATCTCTACTAAAATTAAACAAACAAAAAAAGAAGTTAAATAACACTGAGTGCCCACACTGGTCAGGTAAAACACTGAGGAGTAGAAGCGTCACCAGGGTCAAAGCCAGCTCTGCACTTGCAGAACAGGGCGTCCAGTGCTGTCGGTTAAGCTCAGGTGTTGTGCCTGCAATGAGAGGCAGCTGGTCTCATGGGGAAATGAGGGTAGAAATCCTTTTGATGATGCCCAAGCTGAGGCCTGGGAGGATAAATAGAAACTGGCCAAGTGTGGGCAAGCAGGGGGGGCAATCCCAGTAGTGGAGACAACAGTGCAAAAGCCCAGAGCAAGAGAAACATATGTTCAGGGAAATGGTGGTGGTCACCAGAATGTGAGAACCATGGGTAGGGAAGTGACAGGAATCAGCCTGAAGATGCCTGGCATGCTGTACTCACCAGTACGGACTTCATCCTAGCAAGATAAATGTTACATACAAACGGGACCTCCAATTTGTGCTTTAGAAGGTTCATTCTAGCTGGCCGGGCACGGTGGCTCACCCCTGTAATCCCAGCACTTTAGGAGGCTGAAGCAGGCGGATCGCGAGGTCAGGCGTTCTAGACCAGTCTGGCCAACATGGTGAAACCCTGTCTCTACTAAAAGTACAAAAACTAGCCAGGCGTGGTGGTGCATGCCTGTAATCCCAGCTACTCAGGAGGCTGAGACAGGAGAATCACTTAAACCCAGGAGGTGGAGGTTGCAATGAGCCAAGATCACACCACTGCACTCCAGCCTGGGCGACAGAGCAGACTCTGTCTCAAAAAAAAAAAAAAAAAAGGTTTAGTCTAGCTGCAGGGTAGAGAATGGTTTGAAAGATGACTGCAATGAAGGAAATCAATGAGTCTATCAAGGTAATGGAGTGCTGAAATGGTGAGAGCCAGACCTAGGGCACAACAACAGGAATAGACAGTAATGGAGAGACTGGAATGCTGCTGAGGAGGTGGAGAGACCAGAGCTTGATGCATGCTTAAGCCTGGTGGGTGAGAGAGGAGGTTGGGTCAGGCCCAACATCCAGGTACCTAGCTTGGACATTTAGGTTGGTGAGTGGGTCTAAAAAAACAGGGAGGAGAGAAGCAGGTTTGGAAACAGGTTCAAATCAAATAGAGCTCACAGGAATCCAGAGTTCACAGGACAGATCTGGCCTGGAGAAGAAGCTGTGAAGTCACTGGCATAGACTAACGGGAGCCAGGGGAACAGGAATCCAGAGTTCACAGGACAGATCTGGCCTGGAGAAGAAGCTGTGAAGTCACTGGCATAGACTAACGGGAGCCAGGGGAACAGGAATCCAGAGTTCACAGGACAGATCTGGCCTGGAGAAGAAGCTGTGAAGTCACTGGCATAGACTAACGGGAGCCAGGGGAACAGGAATCCAGAGTTCACAGGACAGATCTGGCCTGGAGAAGAAGCTGTGAAGTCACTGGCATAGACTAACGGGAGCCAGGGGAACAGGAATCCAGAGTTCACAGGACAGATCTGGCCTGGAGAAG